TTTTTGCGTGTCCACCACAAGTATATGTAGCTAATGCAGACATGATTCCTTGAAAAAGGTTTCAGTTTGGTGTTTTAACATCCTAACACCTCCTGTTTTATTGCCAGAAAGTGTAAAACCTCTTCTTATCCTGGCAAGGGAGGTCCCATGGCGTGCTATGTACATTGACCGAAAGGTTGCCTATTATTATTACATATATTGAATGTCCAGTTTTCCGTTTAAAATGGATTAGTGCGGTGAGATGACCGCTATGCATTACCAAGCCGTTTAGAAAGATACAACCGTCCGTCCGTGTGTCTGTGTGCTCACGGTTGCGTGGTTGTGTGTCTACGTGCGTGCGTGCGTGGACATGTGCCCGTTTTCGTGTGCACGTTGTGTCCCAACAGTCCGTTAAGGCTATTTGGGGGATGTTTGTCTTTGTCTATGTCGGGGGGGGGGGGAGGGCGGTAGTGTAGCGGTAATTTGGCTGCTCGTCGGCTACGTTACGAACCTGGGGACTCGAGTTCAATTCTCGCTCACGTACAACATCAGCGACGATTATCAGTGAACCGGTCCTGGGCCCTAGGTCGACTCAGCCTCAAGTGAGTACCTGGTGCGATGTGTAAACATCGCCACTGGGGAGACAAATGCGGCCGGGCGTTGTGTTGGCCACCCACCCCCTCGTGTGCTGTTCCGGTCTTCATCGGTGCTCGCTAACAGCACTTGCCCCAACAGTCTGTTAAGGCTATTTCAGAGTTTTTTTGTCTTTTTATACGTGTGCATATGTGTGAGAGTGCGTGAGAAGTATGTATATGTGCTGGGTGGTGGCGCACTGCCCTACGAACCTGTCAACCTATGTTCGATTCCAGGCCATGGTGAACTTCAAGCGACGAATATATATCTGAACCGGTCCTGCCCCAGATCGGACTCAACACTTAAATGAGTACCTGGTGCGGTGAGTAAACATCAGCGTTGGGGAGACAAAGACGGTCGTGCGCGGGGGATAGCGACGCACCACAAGACACCGTCACGTTGCCGTGCCCCATAAATGCGCGCTCACAGCACTTGCCTCGGCAGCCTGTGAGAGCCTACACCGGGAAGCTTTGTATTTGTGGGCATGTGTGCATTTTTCAAAAACGTGGCTTCAAGTGCAAGCCACTGGTCATGACGTGAATTATTAATCTCCCTCTCTCTCTCTCTATCGCCGTTCGTTTCCATGCCGCCAAAGTTTGCCTTGTGCCCGAGCTCGCAGAGTTCAAACATTCACGCCGTTCCGGAGTCGTATTTTTAGCTTCCACCTCCAGGGTCATGCACAGACGGTGGCCCAACCAACCACCCACCCACCCACACATCCACACGTAACATATACTCTGACAAACACATACACGCGCACACGCGCATACACGTAAACAGACACGCACAGCCACGCATACTCACACACTCGTACAGAATCAGAAACTGTTATTCAGCCACACAAAGACAGATATCACCCGGATAGCCTCAACATACTGTTGGGGCAAGTATCCTTTGCGAGTAATATACCTATGCATGTCTGCACGCACGGCGCGCGACGGGGTGGGTGTGCCAGCACCACGCCCGACCACCTTTGTCTCCCGAGTGGCGATGTTTACACATTGCGCCAGGTGCTCATTTGAGGCCGTGTCGACTTGGAGGGGGGCCAGTACCGGTTCAGATAATCGCCACTGGTTGTTGGCCGTGAGCAAGTATCGAACTGGGGTCGCCCGGTTCGTAGAGCGGCGAGCTAACCACTGCACCACCGCTCCCCACCCATGACATAACACATGCAGTGCATAGCACACTGTATCTAAACATACCGAATACATACAATATTCGGTGCATACACGATGCGTTTTATATTAGTGCTCTTATGAAGATGGCCCATTGGCTGAAACGTTAGCTTAATATATATGTTCGGCCTGCCGACTCTTTATCAATTGCCATAATTTACCCACTGCCTCTGCAGGTTTTGAAGATTAATGCCATGGCATTGCTCACTAAGTGAACATTACGTTCTGATATCTTACAAAGATGCCCCCACCCTCTCTCACCCGTATAGTCTCAACAGAATGTTGAGGCAGATGCTGTTAGCGAGGATATATGAAAGGCCGGCAGGGTACACGAGGGGGTGGGTGGCCAGCACCTCGCCCGGCCGCCTTTGTCTCCCCAGTGGCGATGTTTGCACATCTTGAAGCACACACGCTCACTTGCATTGCATGTTGTAATATACATGCATATACGGTACACATATACATGTCTATGTAGTACCGAACATGTGCAAAAGTGCAGTATACTTTATAGAACTACAGATACAGTATGGTTGTATACATTATTATTATATGCTCAAGTTTTTTTTACTTTTGATAACTTTGGGCCAGCCCAAAGTCCTTAATTGCTTTAATTGTAATAAATACACTTTTTCAAATATACGGTCTCCCATAATTAGTCATTAGCCCATCGTGGAGTGTGACGCTAAAGTCGATAGAAAGCAGGCAAAGCCCAATACCGATCATCATCATCTCATATAGAGTACGTTTCAACGTTACGTTATCTCTCTGTGAAAGTCTACAGCTATCAGCTACCGTATGTGTACGCATGTTCGAGCCCTTCATACATACAGGACATTTGCGAACAGTTATACAATACCTGTTCCTACTCAATAACGGACTTCCACTGCTTGGATTCATCTCACCACTACTCCTAAGCCGCGCTCTTTGTCCATACTTCACCACGCTGCCCAGTGCAGGTTGATGAGCTTCAGGCGTGGATGACACGTGACCGTTTTGGATATCTTGCGCCACTGATGTTAGCCGCGGCCGGAGTATTTGGAGGGTTCATAGCGCGATGCGCACCACCTCTCCGTACATTTATCCGTCTACCCGGATACATCTATCACCAACCATTGCGTACACACAAAGCTAAATACAAAGATCCCCCTCATAGCCTTCATAGATATTGGGGGAAGTGCTGTGAGCGAGCACATATGAAGGCCGGCACCGCACACGACGGCCAACACCACGCCCAGCCACCTTTGTCTCCCTAGTGGCGATGTTTACACACCGTACCAGGTACTATTTTATTGGCTGAATTGACCGTAGGGGGACTCAGCCATATAATCGTCACTGGTGTTGGTCGCGAGCGGGAATCGAACTCGGGTCGCCGGGTTCGTAGCGCAGCGCGCTAACCGCTACACTACCGCTCCCCACGTACGACACGCAACACACACACACAACACACACAACAGACACGACACGCAACACACACGACACACACAACATACACGACACACAACAGACACGACACGCAACACACACGACACGCAACACACACACAACACACACGACACGCAACACACACGACACGCAACACACACGACACGCAACACACACACAACACACACACCACACACACACAACAGACACAACACGCAACACACACACACAACACACACGACACGCAACACACACACGACACACACACACCACACAACACACACAACACGCAACACACACACAACACACACAACACACACGACACGCAACACACACACACACAACATACACAACACACACGACACGCAACACACACACAACACACACGACACGCAACACACACAACACACACACAACATACACAACACACACGACACGCAACACACACGACACGCAACACATACACAACACACACACAACACATACACAACACCCACGACACGCAACACATACACAACACACACGACACGCAACACACACGGCACGCAACACACACGACACGCAACACACACAACACACACAACACACACACAACACACACGACACGCAACACACACAACACACACAACACACACAACACACACACAACACACACGACACGCAACACTTACACAACACACACACAACACATACACAACACACACGACAAGCAACACATACACAACACACACGACACGCAACACACACGACACGCAACACACACGGCACGCAACACACACAACACACACGGCACGCAACACATACACAACACACACGACACGCAACACACACGACACGCAACACACACGACACTGAACACACACGACACACACACACGCACGTCTTCCAGGACTGCTTTACACATTAAGGAGATTACGAATTCCCTTAATAATAAGTTAACACCCCTCTAAACCGACCCACGTGTGCTCTTGTTTGGGAGGGTTTAAAAAAGAAATGTTATCCAACTTCTGTGCACCTGGAGCCGCCACCGCAGCGATCGCCGACTTTACCTGACTCGGCCCCCCCACCTCCCCCCGTGAACTCTTCACCCCTAAGCCCCATGCTCATGATCTCATGATTGGCAGCTCCCGTGATTCCTTTTTTTTATTAAAGTCGTGAGGCACCGCGGTTTCCGCTCAGCCATGCGACGACAGCAGCTGTAGCCATCGTTAACTTCACACGCACACACGAACGCACACCACCATGATCATCTACCGATGTTCAATGCACTGCTGGATGGAGGCCTCCCCAAGATGATAGCTTCACGCGTACCCCATCGTCATTTTAATAATAATCATCAATCAACGGCAGTCGTGATCAATCCACTGCTGGATGGAGGCCTGCATTCGCTGCTAACTTCATGCATACACATCAATCATAATCATCAATCAACAGCAGCCGTGGTCAATCCACTGCTGGATGAAGGCCTCCCCAATCCGTGAATTGCACACGCACACACTATCCTGATCAGTAGCAGCGGTCATGATCAATCCGTCGCTGGATGGTGACCTCCTTCCAAAAGCAGCCGTCATATTCCACGATCCTGGGATGTAATAATAATTCCACTGAATGCCTGCAATGGAGCTTAATTAATCGCTCCATCTCTCCGGTGGGGCGACTTCTCAGACGTGTTCCCACACGGGTCGAGAGGTGTTGGTCCGTGTGTGTGTGTGTGGGGTGCGAGCGCTTTTTTTGCCGTGTGCATTTCACATTTTCACCACATATACAGAGTGGCCCAAAAGCCAGGACACGTTGGGGTCATTTAATTTATTTTAACATTGGCAATAAAACATTTCAATTGTTTATTATTAAAGTTAACATCTGTATCTATTCTCATTGCAAACATCTATTTTACTTCTGCCCGTGGTGGTTCCCTCCAATCCGTCGTTTACAAAACTCGACCAAGAAAGCCTGCGAATGAATTGAGACAACAAAACACAGTTGATGATGAATGTTCAAATATTACGCCTGTAGTTGTTTTTTTTAAAGTAATAAATTCATTTCAAAAGAGAATCCATGCACGACGCATGAATGTTAATGGAAGCCAGTCTGAAAATGTGTTAAAATAAACTTAATAACCCGACGTGATTTGTTAAAATAAAAATAACAGTCCTATGTGTCCTGACTTGTGGGCCACCCTGTATGCACTGCTAATACCCCGACCCCTGCACAGTCGACATAGAATGCTGGGCTACGTGCCGGGTTCGTACCCCCCGCACCTCCACTCTGCATAAACACTACCAACTTATACAGCCTCGACATGTAGTTTATTGGAACAAGTTGTGTTAGCGAGCACCTATTAAGGCCGTCGCGGCGCACGATGGGGCGATGTGGCCGGAGCCACGCCCGGCCGCCTTTGTCTCCTAGCAGCGTCTACATGTACTCATGTAAAGCTGAGTCTAACTATAGATGGCCGGGGGTCCGGTTCAAAGACTCATCACTGATCATAAACACGGCCAGGTATCGAACTCGAGGGGCCGGGTTCGTAGCGCATCGCGCTAACCACTACGCCACCGCTCCCCAATTTACAAACGCATACATACGCACATAGACTATACATATACACTACACATATACACAGACAGATACTCCCTATGTATCTAAATATGTACACACACATATACTGTACACCCTACACACGTGCGTATACTACCCGCATGCCGCACAGCCTACACATTGCGTAAACAAATACATTACACGCAAAACACACATAAAGTGCACATAAATACACTGCGCAACTCCACAAAATATACGAACACATACACACCCCATATATACACATACAGACACTGTGTACATACAATATACACCATATATATTAAAACATACGTATGGACACACTCCACACACAGAGACATTGCATGTACAAGCGCGCTCACACACACACACGCACACATCCACACGTGAGTACGCACTATGTAGCCACGAAGCAGGGCCATCGCCCGAAACGTCGCCTATTACATATTGTAAGGCCACACGTAGCGTTACTGACGAATGTGTTAAAGTTTAGTTTTATTAACTCTGCCTAGCGCACCATTGCCAACGCAGCATCACCAAACAATCATATCCTGTACACATACGTCGATACACGTGAGCATGCAACAATATAATACACACAGACATATACGACTACACACACGGATACACACAATATATGTGTGTGTGTGTGTGTTTATGCCTACACAGGTGGAGCGGTGGCGCAGTGATTTGCGCACTGCGCGATGAGCCTGGCCACTCCACCAACACGGGCTGATCATTGTGGTGAAGTATGGCCAAAATAAACCCCCACATCACGTCCAGCACGACCAGTGGGAATGATTGCCTTCATCCGGCAGTGGATTTGCATAAAGGTGTAGAGTCATTTCTAATTTAAACATCTACAAACTTGCCTCCATATAATAATGTATACAACCGTACTGTATCTGTAGTTCTATAAGGTATACTGCACTTTTGCACATGTTCGGTACTACATAGACATGTATATGTGTACCGTATATGCATGTATATTACAACGTGCAAATGCATGTGAGCGTGTGTGCTTCAAGATGTGCAAACATCGCCACTGGGGAGACAAAGGCGGCCGGGCGAGGTGCTGGCCACCCACCCCCTCGTGTACCCTGCCGGCCTTTCATATATCCTCGCTAACAGCATCTGCCCCAACATTCTATTGAGACTATACGGGGGAGAGGGGGGGAGCATCTTTTTTTAAGATATCAGAACGTAATGTTCACTTAGTGAGCAATGCCATGGCATTAATCTTTAAAAACCTGCAGAGGCAGTGGGTAAATTATGGCAATTGATAAAGAGTCGGCAGGCCGAAACATTGCGTAATTCTAGTTTTTAAGTTTAAACACGCAGACAACACAATTTGCCCTGTGGGATATTAACATCGACAAAGATACAATAAATCATTTTATTTCAATGAATAAAAATCACAAAAAAGAAAAAACACGACGTGAACGTATATAGACACCATTTTTCACTGATCACATATTCACCAAACCAATGCGTTAGCCACAGGGCACGGCTGTTGTGATGTAAGTCTGCCTACATTATATTATCTCTTATTCCCCCCGCCGCGTTTGTCTATTCATTAAATGCCATCGAGATATACATTATAATATGTACAGTATTTTTTTTCAATTATATTATATGAGGCGTACAGAAGAGAACGCACGCGCTTGCGTCAAGAAAAAAAATATATATAAAACAAAAACGAAATTATAAACACAGAACGCACCAGTTTTTCATGACATAAATTATAGCAATACATTCATGTGTATGACGGGTTCTGCATGGGATGCAGCTACATGATGCATCTGATATTATACCTGAGCTCGCAACTTGGACACAAACGGCAAGAAATATACAATTACATAGGCTACTTAACGCAAGTTTCTGTAAACAATGCATGGACATCCGAAGGAGTGCGCGCACTTTTATAAGTAATCAAATTTTTGTTTTAGTTTTTTTGTTCGACAAATTTGAATTACACACCATACACGAACCACAGCAAAACGAAAAGTATGCTTTGTCTCGAACCTCAGCCAATTTACCGATTCATATTTTATTGTGTTTTCTTCGACTTGTATGAACATCCTACCCCACACGGTCACTCCCGCCCCTCCCCTTCCTCGCCCCCACCCCAAACGAACACCCACACACCACACCTCTAAGAAAGACGACACCAATATACAACATCGATTAATGTTTCCGATTATTGGCTATAACAATGTACGGGATACAACATTAAACTGTCCGCCAAATAAAAACGAGCCTTGGGTGCGTGCGTGCGTGCGTGCGCTCCTGGCCCATGGTTCGACCGGCCAGCATCACGCAGCCCGCGCTTGCACCTTTGCGAGTGCTGCCCCTTCCTTGTAAGGGGCCAGACAGGGAAGTCAGTCAGTCGTTCGGGACGGGAGACACACACGGGTCGAGAAGTGTACAACGGTAACACCCGGTTAGGAATGCCCCTTCTTGTGATTGACGCTCGCGTCGCTCTTGCCGTTGCGCGAGTATGGCTCAAAGGCCGATGTCCCGTGGAGGGGCCGCACAGCCAACTCGAGCGGAAGGCCCACGTGGATGGGCAGCGACGGCATGGACAGAGGGAACACGGGCCCTCCGGGAAGGCCGGGGCAACCCGGGGCGGTGAGGAAGGCCGGCGGGCCTGGCCGTGGGCCGTGTCCAGTCCCGTGAGCAGACGAGGGCCCAGTGGGCTGCAGGAGTCGGCCCTGCTCTAAGAGACGCAGGACGCTGCACGTGGCCGCGGACTCTGAGCTTGGAGAGCGGCCCTCGGCGCTGTCCTTGGTCTGGTCTTTCTTGTGCTTCGTGCGCCGATTCTGGAACCACACTTTCACCTGAGGCGTGGCAGGGAGGAGAGGAGATGGAAGGAGGGAGATGCAGAGAGATGAGGGGAGATCGTGGGAGGAATAGGGAGAAAACGCGGGTGGTTGGAGTCGAGAAACGGGGACTTCGTGAGCGACAGGACAGTGCGATTGAGTTGATGCAATCGTTGTACAAGTTGATAAAGTGGTGCCATTGCATTGCATCATCGTCGTCAGTCATAATCCATCTACTGCTAGATGAAAACCATGATTCGCCGTTCCATGATGCAAACAATCCACCGAGCAGAGGAGTTAATCGCTCCATCTCCTCGGACGACGTCCTCTCGGACACGTCACTGTTCGTGACTATGGACCATAATCCGTTTGAGCAACGTGTCCTGCCCAATAGCCCTCTTGTGTTTCTTAACCTGCATATGTTCTCTAGGCAATTTGTTCCACTTTCTGTCTCTCAATGTAATTGATCATCACTCGACTACGATCGATCCACTGAAATACAAAACCACTGTCTATTGATTGTCACTCCTTGAAGACTAATTTCTTTAGAAATGCTTTTTTTGTGTTTAGGCTTGGTGTCCTTCGCCCGCACCTCCGATTAGCACGGTTGGCTACGTAGGGTGCGAAAGAAGTTCAACATACATGCGTCAATGTTTATTACAGTATTTTAGCAACAATCTGCTGTAACAACCTTCCCCAAATGTAAGTTTGTTTTGGGTGGGCGTGGCCTGACCTGGAGAGTGGGCAAACACGTTTAACGGTGAATACCAAGAGTTCGGCGGTCACCGCCTCACTGCCATCTGCGAATCGCAAAGCAATGGGAATTGAGCGAATAGCAGAGAGTGGGTGGGCGTGTGCGTGCTTGGATTACGGCGGAGACAGGGAGAGTGGGGATTGCACGCCATTCATCGTTAATCCACCTATTGCGGTGAACATAAAACTACGGATTCTAATAGTAACCATTAACCCTCTAACCTGTCACGATGCACTCCGATCCATAACAAAATAATGCATTACCACGATTCCATCGATTATTTCCCCCTTTTAAAAGTTAACGTCTCCGTCGCATATTTTGCCTTATCCCCGTTTCATTAGTGCGGTTGTGTTTGCCCCATTAGCAACAATGTAAAATAGTCGATGGACATTTACATACGTTAATTATTTCACAACTCAAATAGGTTGAGCTGAAGGCTATTGCCAGAAACGTTATATTTTGTGTTAATCACGAAAGCGTTGATATTTGTTGTAATGTACTTGTAGTAAACGTTAAGACCCAACCTTTCAGCCGTCCGACTTAAACTTTCCCCTTGATAGAGACAACTTCAATGTTTGCACTCTCTAACCGCCTATTATACTTAACCACAGGTAAGTCTGGCATAGATTGATGACGTCCCGTTTGTATTATTGTCTCGATTAAAAAAAAAACATGACCAATTATATTGAAGTTCAATTATCATAATTCTACTCAACAGTATACAAGCCGTACAGCAATTGTTACGAGCATCAATGCCTACTGGCAATGACGGCTGCAGTATATACAGTATCTCCCCCATAGGTCTATATACGCCCATATTGCAGGATGCATTTAAGGTCTGAGTCGATACTAATCCGGATCCTTACACCGCAAGCAAGAATCCTCGAATAAAAGCTACAGAATAAAAGCAAGAACGATTCGCTCACTTGCACTATGAATCCCGAAACCAGAGTTCAATTCCCGGACACGGCTAATAACACGTGCGGCGAGGAGGCCCTGAACCGGAACCTGAACCGGTTCAGGGCTTCCCCCACCCCCCCCCCCCCCCCCCACCAACCCACGTCGACCAGCGTGGCGAAGTATGGTCAAACAACCAAACCGATGGCCCACACGGGGAGGATTTTTTTTTTTATCCGACAGTGGGTCGACCATGGCTAATCGTGACACAGGGTATGTTGAATGACATTCACGGGGCAGTTTGACGAACGCCACCGTCTCACGTTGCACGGTGCACACGTGCAAGCTATTCCGTAACATATGAGCGTTCAGCGGTGCAAGTCCCCTCAAGTTACCCGCGGTGGAGTTGCTGTTACGACCGGCTCACGAGTCACGGCGTGCATTGCTATACGGGGCTGCATTGGTCACGCGCAAAACCCCCGTGGAGAATGCGCGCATGAGCAGCGCGTGCGGCGTAGAGCCGCGTGCGTTGAACACCGGGAACCCTGAACGCGAGACGTCGACTCGTCAGTTAAACGTTGCGTTATTTTGTGTTCGCGTTTGATGATTTTAAAAAATATATATTAACGCGAGCTAACGGCGCGCGCTCGCACGTGACAGACAAAGATCCCCCGTGTAGGCCACACTGACTGTTCGGGTTAAAGTGATGTTATCCGGGGCGGCCGCATTTGTCTTCCCGGTGTTCGGTGTTTACACAACGCCCAAAAGGACTCGTTTAAGGATTGTTGAGTCGACTACGAAGAGGCGCAGGATCGGTTTGAAATTTAGCCGCTGATGTTGGCCGTGAATCGGAATTTGATCGAAGGTAGCCGAGTTCGTAGCGAAGTGCACTGACCGCTAACATGACCGCTCTCTGCCAGTTACATACGTACAAAGACAAAGATCCCCCGTATAGCATTAACATAATGTTGGTGCAAGTGCTGTTAGCGAGGACCTATGAAGGCCGGAACGGTACGCGAGTGGGTGTGTGGACAGCACCACGCCCGACCGCCTTTGTCTCCCCACGTGGCGATGTTTACGCACCGCACTAGGTACTCATATGAGGCTGAGTCAACCTAGGGGAGGCCCAGGACCGGTTCAGATAATCGTCACTGGTGTTGGCCGTGAGCGGCAACCGAGCCCGGGTCGCCGGGTTCGTAGCGCAGCGCGTAAATCGCTATGCCACCGTTCCCACTTACATACATATGCATATATATATATAACTATGTAATGAACAGGTATAAACTTTTAAAAGTTATCTAACAAATGTGTGACGTGCTGATGAGTGAAAAAAGCACGAAACGAGAATTAAAGTTGCGTGTGACGCATCTGTCAGGTTTAACTTTGAAGGCCTGAAAGTATTTTGTTTCATATTTTATCACAGATAATTCTTGGCTCATGTTTGTGTGTATAGATATATACTTATGTATTAAACCATCAAACATTCAACCAAGCGGTCATTGGACGTGTCGCTTGCCACATTAAGTGTAAAGTCACTCATTAACGTAATGTTATTCAGTAGTTTATTGACGTAGAGTTAGTACATTTAAATAACTTTTAAAACGAATAAACATCTTTCTTCAATGTGACCTAATGATATATAATATCTCGCATGTTCTCAACACGCTAAATGCAATGCGCTGAGCATATTGACCGATAATGTAAGTCAGAGACCCATGCCCATTTAGACTGTACAGACTTCCCTCGCTGTATGCGGTAGTAGATGCGTTGCAAAAAAAGGCGCACAAAGCGAAATCGCGTAGATTAATACAAAATATACACCGCACGAGACAGCTGCCTGCGGAGGAGCTCATACAGTCCACATACACACATTGTTGCCCCAAGTCCGACAGCATAGCTGGATATGAGTTAATTAAAACCGCATATAACAAATTTCGGGGGGAAAAAGGTTAGCCGCATGTAAGTGAAATTGCACAAACCGTACCGGCATGAAGCGAGGGAAACCTGCAGTATATACAGTATAGACAAACGCTCAAAATACGAAGCGCATATATTTAAACATTTATATTGAATCGGGAACCAGTATGTAAAAACTTCAAACGGCACGTTGACGTCAATTTATTAAAATCACCGTCAATTAGGACACAAAGGCACGCGCGTGCTCGGCACGATAGGGTGACGCCGAAACGTCGCCGCGTCTCGTATTTACGAATACCCACGTTGTGCATTGTGATTGGCACGTTAAAGCAGTCTGGCGTTGCTTCGCAATATATACCATTGACACGGTACATTGTGTCCATCATTAAGTGAAAATCCAACCGCGCTGCTTATGCTGACAACAAGATCGAGTCTGAGCCAGAAGTACGAATCGTAAGCAAACAGCGGTCGAGACTAACGCCGGAGTGACAGCCTAAGGGAGGGGACGCGCCCGAAGCTACCACGGAGATGGAGCAAATCAAATCAGCTCGCGTGCACGTGCGACGTGAATTGCCGCGAACATCGCATGGCCGAGAGAGACGGCGACGACTTGGGACGGCCTTTCATCCAGCAGTGGATTGATTGATCATGGTTAATGATGCTGATGATGACGGTAGTGGTAGTATGTCGGGTCTGCAATCGTGCCAAAGCAAGATGAGGCTCGCAGAGAAAGAGACCCCTCGAGTATGATACGTCGTCTAATTAGTCCCGCAAAGATGTCAGTTGCTTTTATCGCTGATAAGCCCACGAGCTTGGCTCGAGCGTCTCGCTCCCCTACGCCTTCTCGTCTGCACCCGTGCACATACAGTCCCTCTGTACGTGTGCACATACAGTATACATTCTATACAAAGGTGCCCCGTATAGCCTAAACAAGACCGTTGGGGCACGCGCTGTTAGCGAGCACCTATGGAGGCCGACGCGGTACACGAGGTGGTGGTGTGGCTAGCACCACGCCCGACCGCCTTTGTCTCCCTCATGGCGGTGTTCCCAAAACCGCACCAGGTACCAATTTGAGGCTGAGTCGACCGCGGGCGAGGCCCAGGACCGGTTCATATAATCGTCACCGGTGTTGGCCGTGAGCGGTAATCGATGCGCCTCCGCTTCCCAAACATTCTATACAATCTCCTACACGCGTGGACGTACAATCTCTCTCGTACATAAATGAGCAACGTGAGCTCTTCTGTTAAATATAATTTAGTCAAATTTTATGTTTAGCGAATTGTCTAATTCACAGCGGGCAAGAAGACATCGATCCCCAACATCGTGATGGTCACGGGGGGCGTTGTTTGACTATACTTCACCACGCTGGTCACTGCGTGCTGGTGAAGTGGGTGGGGTGGGGGGTAAAAAACAGGACCAGTTCGGAATGTTGTGATTTTTGTCGTGGTTG